CGCCCCCCCCCCCTCCTCCCGCCCAGGGCGAGGTCCGCGCGTGCGCCGCCCGACTCCGTTTCAGCGCGCACTACTCGTGCCGCGCGCCGGCCGGGAGCTACCCCGCAAATTGACTAAATTTGGCGGAGAGGAGAGAACTGCCGTGCTGCGGAAGAACGCCGTATGAACATTCGAGAGTTGCAAAGTTTCCTTCGATAAAATGTTTATTTGTGAGGAAAGTTGTGAAGATTTTTCCTTGACATTTTCAGGAAATTTAGGTGAAATTGCGATTAAAATTGTTTGAAATATAAGAGGGGAAAGATTCCTAAGTTTACCAGGGAATTCGTGTTTTATATCAAAGAGGATTTGGCAACGCCTGAAGGTGCATACGGCGTTTTTCCTTGGCACGGCAAAGTGCTTCTCTGCCGTGCCAGTTTTAATCACTCTTAATCGTGACCTTTTTTTCTTCTTTAATTTATATTTTCTCGATTGAGAATAACAATGAAGACACACGGTAAGTAGAGACGCAGGGCACAGGTGGCATTAACCAAATATGGTGAAAATGTGCGAGTTCTAATTCGTCATTCTTCAAATTTTTGACGATTTTTTCGATAGGTGTTTTCGACCGCTGATATCGTCGCTCCTCTGACGTAAAGGCGTATCTCGATTGCCGTATGAGCCTTAAAAAGCATGGCTGTATAAGTAAATCCGGGCTCACGAGGAAATTGAGGTACGCGCTTAGGTTAGAGGGGCGACTCTACTACGAGGACGGGCCATGTAGCTCTTCCGAGCCGAAAGGCATTATTTCCTTTTTTTGCCTCCGCAACTCTCACCAACACTTGGTATCAATCAGTGTTCATCGCATTGTCGAAAAAACAAAATTCGAACCTCATTTTTTTCTCAACCTCTAATCCCCTCTCAAATCCTGCTCGAAAGTGAATTCGAATAATCGGCGATAGAATTCGCGGATCGAATGCTGGAAATTTTAAGTGTATTGGTGGGTTTTATTTGTGCCGTGGAAGTTCTTAGCACTGGTAACTTTTGGTCATGGTAATTGAGCAGAGATCGTTGAAACTTGACTTGCTATACTGCGCCGTGCTAAGGAAGAACGTCGTATGAACATTCGATAGCTGCCAAATTCCCTTCGATAAAAAGTTAATTTTTGAGGAAAGTTATGAATATTTTTCCGAGAAATTTTCAAGAACTTTCGGTAAAATTGCGAACAAAATAATTTGAAAAATTGGATGAAAAATATTTACAAATTTCCCCGAAAATTCGTGATTTACCAATGGAAATTTGGCAACGCCTGAAGGTTCATACGGCGTTTTACCTTAGCACGGCAGTATAAAACTTGGTGAATTTGTACGTCGATTGTGCATGTTTCGGGAGATTTTAGGGAAATGCATCTCACCGGAACTGTCGCGAATGCATTTTGATGAATGAGCTTCAAACTTTCTTATATTATTATTATTCAAATTGCAATTTATTCGTCTCGATGTTCCACTTTATCGTCGGAAAGTCTTTGGTACGTGAAATTATTTTGATTGTTCTGTGAACAAAATGGAAGGTATAAAATTGATATGCGTTTCGGAGTGATGTATTTTGCGTGTTTAATTGTTCTTTGATTGGCGGCGAAAAATAGAGAAATAAGTTTCATGATAGGTCTCTAGACAAGGTCTGGACCAGTGGCGTGGCGTGAATTGCGATGTATCGATTGTTATGCCATTTAAACCTATGAAAAAGGATCGATAAACAGGGTGTTCGCAGCAAACACCTTAATAATCGATTCTTTACCATAGGTTTAAATGGCTTAAGAATTGATACATCGCAATTCACGCCACGCCACTGGTCTGGACTCGAAAAACAGTCATACTTTCTCTTCCTAGTCACATCATCTGGCGGCATTTCCCATTTAAACACACGTGTTTTAGCAGATTAGATCATATATAGTCATATCTTCACCAATAATTGTTCAATTCAAGAACCAAGGGTATTCTCGTGTTCAGTTCACTCGGTAGTTTCCACTTGGACACGAAATTCATCCAATTTCAGACACGTGCAATTCC